TGAAGATGGTCGGGGAGATGTTGGAGTATCGTCTGGCAGTGGTAAAATCTGGATCGAGAGCGGATTGAGAAAGCGTAGGAGATGCTGGTCGACGACCCGCAAGTCGTTCGGATCGTCGCATAGAGAGCGTAGCTGAAGTTCGAATATACTGTCAAGATCAAGACAGAGCTAAGTCCGACGCCGGAGGTGTGACGTCCGGACCTAGCGAGATGATTGTCGGAGTCGGGTCAGAAGAAGGTCGGAGTGAGTCGGAGAATGTCGGAGCAGAGTTTCGGGATACAGAGAGTGAGTGCGAGTACGGACCAGACTCAAGCTTTAAGACTTGAGTCGCTACGCGCTCTAAGTCCGTGTCGGAGCAGAAGAGTAACTTAGTCGATATTCGAACTAAGGAGTTAGAGTACAGGAGCTAGGAGTTTATATACGCGGAGGCACGGTTCGGAGCTCGTATCGATAGGGAGTTATCGGAACTATGAACCATGTGGAATAAGGAGTTATCGGAACTATGAACCATGTGGAACTGTCAATCGTAAGGACGGAGCATATGGTTACGAAGCTGATAATTGGAGGTAGAATAAGTCCGAAGGGAATATCAAACCGTTAAAGGCATATCGATCGTGAACGTCGGAGTTGAATCTGTTATGACTCGAGAACTACCGGGACGTTGAGTCGCCGGAGGACTATTCATGTGATAATGTAGGTCCGGTACCGGAGCTGCTACTCCGATGGCGGACAACCCGGAACGACCGGAGCTATCGTACTTGGCCCGGTTATGGCCCAAGATCCGACACGTGACAGAGAAGCAGCTGGAGCTTCAGCAGAAGGAGATGGAGTTACGCCTCCTGCGTGAGCAGCGCCGGCAGGCTTCAAACCAGACCACAGTGGCAACGCAAGCTACAACAGCGGGAGCAGCTCAAACGTATATCCCTGACTATCCAGAGTATGATATCTTCTCGCTTCCTGGCCCAAGCAAACCGTTTGCTCAGTAAAGTAGAGTGCGTCACCGATAAGTAGCTACGACAACTATTAGCATAGTCTATTCCATACAACTCATAGTGTAGCCTACTGTAACCTAAGATCGCCGTGTCTGTTCCTGCCGCCGTTGTGCCCGTCTCTCGAGATGTCGCAATAAAGCCTCTTTGAGGTATTGCCGCTTAGCCTTGCCTTCCATGAGACGAAGCGGGCCACGCCCATGGTCTGCAATGTGTGCTGAAAACGGTAAAGACAAGCCATCAGGCTCCGAGTCAGAGTCGGAGAGTCCATCGCGGATGAACGGGTCAGCATCCACCATGTCGTCGTCATCATCATCTTGCAGCTCCGCCCTCTCTACTGCTTCGTGTCTCATGGCGAAGGCGTGAATGGTAACACATGCTACAACCCAAAGAGTTGCAAGTTTGTGAGCATTTTCGTCGAGGATGTTCACGCGAAGTGACTTTAACGACTGAAAACGCCCTTTGAGGAATCCAATGGCATGCTCTGAGCGGATGCGGACCATAGAAAAGTGGTTGTTGAACACGGTGTTCTCTTTGAGGTCACGCTCAGGCTTCTTGTACGGTGCTACGGTCCAAGAGGAGATCTAGGTATTTGATCAGTCTCGACATGTGAGGTAAAATGAACATACACACTGGATATGCCGAGTCAGCCCATACCCATTCGTTATCTTCTAATAGTGTACTATGCTCCTTGTAGATGCATGTCTTCTCCCATGCGGTGGAGTCATGCGTGCTTCCCGTGTATCCGAACCCGTAGTCAATAATTTGGAGATCGGGTGTCGAAACGACCTGTAAAAAAAGTTAGAATGATGCGCCGCTGGAGCTAAAGCATGTATTACCTGCAGATTAAGCGAATAGTTGCATTTGCGGTCATAGTAACTTTCACCAAACCAATGTGGCCGGTCGTAAAGCGGAATGAGTGTCCCGTCAACGAGGCACCAGCCATGGCGCCATGCATGGCATGAGTTCTTCATTACCCATGCTTTAGCTCTCTCCTTCTCCTCACCAGTCGGCAGACGTACAGCGGCATTTTTGAACCATCAGGAAAACCCCTCCCTGGCAATTGTCATCAAATATCATCAAATATTGTGTGTTTTGCTCAAATTTTATCAAGTATAGACATATCTGAATGTATTTGGAGATATTGGGACAAGTTTGCCATAGTTTGAACCTAATTGGAGATATCACTAGAACACAGTTTTATACACATACGAGGACTTGAAACAGTTGACATAAAAAGCTGTAGCAGTATCCAAGACATTATTTGAAGTCCATTGTCGTGATGTTTTTGGCCCAAACTTGGGTATCAGATGCACAGACTGCTCAATGCAGTCAAGTGGAACAACTTCTGCCTGTCGTACCCCTTGCTCAACTGATCGAGCAACCTGGTACATACCATGAACTGGATGTGGTCTTCGGAAAGGCGTAAACCATTCTACATATGCCAAGTATTCTGGGGGTGATATATGTGGTAGGAATGTTGCAGACCACCACTTCTTGGGTACCTGAAAGACAACACGGAGTTGTGCAACTCGAAAGTCTGTAATGGTTGTTTAGTTATTGCTCTTCATATTGTTCGTAAGTCCATACCAGATACACCTGGCCCGCTATCCTCCTTAACACGGAGCAAGGCAGTATCATGACGTGTAGTATCAACTTGCAAATTATCTTGCAGATTGGGTGATGGGCAGTAATGATGGGGATCTTGGTGAGATAGCTTGATGCGATGGAAGACTGGCACAGATGTGAATGGAATAAATGTAGTATATGCTGCACGGCTAGCATTCTGGGCACTGAGAGTAGGATCGTTGGTGATGGCTACAAAGTAGCTCAAGTGATAAAGGAAGTCCTTGGCACCATATTGAGTTTCTAGAATGTCAAAGTGGACAGATTTCTTCGAAGGCTCTTTGGTAAGCTTGATATGTGGTGGTTGTGTTACAGTCTGCTGTGATTGGCCAGAGTAGTGCATGATTTTCCAGTGAATGAATAGGTCGTGATGGAGAACCTTCTCTTTGCGTTCGATCCAGCGTGTCATCTGTGGATATGTATCCTTCTTGTTTGTAGAACGGTATGCATCCTTGGTAAAGTCAATATGCAGTCGCTCTGTGGATTCTGTATTGGTGTTATCTGTTGTGCCAAAGTCCATAATCAGGGAGCTATAGTGAGAGGCAAAATGGAGTTTTGGGATGTTGAATTGGGTCCGTATCCCTAGATCAACAAATATAGCCTTGTTCTCATGGAACGTCTGCAACGCCTTATCAAGAGTAGCAAGAGTTGAGTCTGAATGGCAATGATACTGCGCAAGATAGATGAAGTCCAATATGCTGCGGACTGCACGGACAAGGCGTGTAGGTTGTAGGCGAGACGGTAGCTGAAGATCGACGATGAGGCCAAGGAGGATTTTGCAGATTTCACGGTGTTCAGATCCAGAGATTCGGCTCAGTGACGATATGCCTTTGGTGAACAACCGCATTCCATGACTGGCTGGCATTCGTCGACATCTTGCATCGATCTCATCTGAGCCATACGCTTTCTTCAGCCAAGCAATAAGATGCTTCAGCACACCTTGTAGAAGTTGATGTAGCACATCAGGAACAATAGACTGAAAGATGTTGACATAGGGGAGGTGTTGCCAGAATGGATTGTATACTGGTTTAATTCCAGCATCTTCACATGCCTGTATAAATGGTGCACCACCTTCTTCAGCCAGGTCAAGGGCATCCAGTACCTTGTCTCTGTCTCGAGGAGGGCCGAGTACTGCATCTCCAAGCCTATCACGTGGGATTCCACAGCTAGGGCATCTTCCGTGCTTACAGCACACAACAAGCATCTGCTCCGGATAGTCACCAACAAAGCAAGCAAATATAGGATGACATCGGCGGTGAACACCATCACCACTTGCCATATCAATGCCATTCTTGCCAGCATTCTCTAGTGGGGCAAGAATATACTGAAGGCATCCATGGAAGAGATTGGCTAGTGCACGACGACGGGCAGAGATATTTGACATCTGCTCCAAGCGAGTAGCAGGAAGGTAAGCCAAGAGAATTTGTCCACGGCGAGATGGTTTGCGGCGGATAGACTTGGGAAGATTCCCAATAGTCAGATATACCGGGTAGGCAGACTTGTTCCGGAAGAGTGTAAGCTGAGTTTTGTCTGAGCTGATGATAATTGGGACTATGGTAGCACCTGGGGTCTTCTCTTCCACAGCTTCCTAACATACAAATCAATAGGCAAGCTGATGTCCTGCTCGAAAATTGCTGACCTGTGTTTTCCACCACCATTCGCCTGTATGCATGTCATGATAGAGACGCTCTGACTTGTCAGCATTGGTATAATGCTGTTCAGGTGTAAAGACCAGAAGTGGCGCAAATTCTTCGTCCCCAAAGAGATCACGAATGCATGCTATAACATCACGGGAATAGAGGTCATAAACACCTTCACCAATCGCAACCTCTGAGTGTTGAAATTTGGGGCGGCCAGGAATGCGTGTATCAATGATTGTATTCAGTTCTTTGGAGGACTTATATGATAAGCCTAGCGCCTCACGCACCTGGTCAAATAACATCAGTAAGTCACAACTAGGAGTTGTGATCACATACCCCATCGATCGCCAAGTGTGACGAGCGACGTGCAGGGGAACGCCCGTTGGGGTTACCAACTACTTAGACAGCCGGAATGTCCAAGTAATCGGGTAGAGTCGGTTGGAAAGGCAGCGTCGTCGGCACTTACTTTAGGCAAGAGTACACGCAGAAAAGGAGGAGCTGAGCTCGACTCAAGGTCACTGGACACGAGGTCAACAGCGACGCAATAGGCACCTAATGGACTCAAGGTCACACACTAAGTCCCCAAGACACAAGTTAGCATAGTATCTAGTACAGAGACGGTTACTCACCTAAGTCCCCAAGACACAAGAGGTCGAGATGGGGACTTAGGGCGAGCTACAGGGGTCTTATATACACAAATCCATGGTCCAAGAATAGTACAAGAGAATCACATGCAGGGCACAAGGATGAGTAAGACCGACCCACTTAGGTGGGTCAGGATTATGAATCAAGGAGTTAGAAGGAATAACGAGTCATTGTTCATGAGTAAGCGGAACAAACTTCCGTGGCTGTGCAAGGCTGTGCAAGGCAG